CCCCAAAACCCCAAAACCCCAAAACCCCAAAACCCCAAAACCCCTTAAAAGATAATAAAAATTGAATATGATTAAGGAATTCTTCAATCAACTGCATTATTTGATGTCCTTCCTGTTGATTCCAGTGAGATAATGAACAAACTTCAAGAACTTAGCGTGATTCTTCAATCCCTGGCTTGAAATTTGAGGAACAGCTCTCAAATAAGTATCTCTGGCAGCTCCATCAGTTTGAGCAACAGCCTTCTTTTGGTCTTCATTAATTGACAATAATCTATTTTCCTGCTCTTCAGTCAAATTCTTGAGAACTGATACACGAGAGGATAACTCTTCAGTCATAATTGGCAATACTGGGTCCATCTTGAAGTCCATTCTGCCTTTTCTGATGCCATCAAGAGCAGCATCGAAGCATTGGTTATAAATTACATCTTCTTCGTCACTCTCAATTTTAGCTAGAGTAGCGTCAAAGGCTTCTTGAGTGACACTCTTGAGCTTATTCTTCATATTCTGTTGCTCAAATCCTTGGATTTGGTGAAGCATATTAACTGTTCTTTCATGGAAATGTTTCTCTAAGTTGAGTCTCTCATTAGTCATGAAGTTGACCATCGATCTCTTCTTAACAAATTTATATTCATTATGGATGCTGAAGTAATCAATCTGACGCTTAGTATTTTGATAGAACTGAGTGGAAAGTTCCTCAGCAGTATCATTCCACTGGTTAGCCAGCTGCATTGTCTCATATTTGGAGAATACATCATAGAAGATAGTGAATTTTGGTCCTGGCAACCAAGTGAAATGCCTCAATTCAGCATATCCGACATAAAGAGCAATAAGGTACTCATGATGGAAGATCAAACCTCTGATCCAATCATTATGGTCCCACCCACCAAGTCTAGAGAGGGTAGTGATCGTTCCAAAATAGGCAAATAAGAATATGAGTCCTCTTCTTGATCTGCTCAAACTTTCGTAATGAGGAGATACTTGCTCCGGGCCAACTAAGTCAGAAAGCAAGTTCAATTGATGCAGCATTGAAGACGCATGAATTGGGTTTTCCTTTGAATGATATGGATGAGTATATCCCTTCTTCAATCCCTTTTGGTACCTTTGGTAATATCCAGCACCATATTCAGCCTTGTTCTCGGGCTCTTTAGGCAACACAACTTCTTGATGAGTTCTGCTTTCGACATAAGCTTGTTGGAATTTATCTCTAATCATGGCTGCTCCGGACATATACCTTACAGAAGTTGGTTTGGTCAGGGATCTGCTCAATTGCCTAGCTCCAAGAGACGTAAACATATTGATTTATAATATATTATAAATATTATAAAACAAATGCCAATATACAATTTAGCTAAAGGGGTTTTGGGGTTTTGGGGTTTTGGGGTTTTGGGGTTTTGGGG